CATTATGTTTATGTATTCTCTTCCAGGTGTTCCTAGAAGCAGGAATTCGAGCCGGCGCGAGAGCCAGCTGTATATTTCGCTGCATACATCCCACAGCAACAACATCAACGTACATATGCTGGCAATATGTTTACGTATTCTCTTTCAGGTGTTCCCAGAAGCAGGAATTCGAGCCGGCGCGAGAGCCAGCTGTATATTTCGCTGCATACATCCCACAGCAACAACATCAACGTAGATATGCTGGCATTATGTTTACGTATTCTCTTCCAGGTGTTCCTAGAAGCAGGAATTCGAGCCGGAGCGAGAGCCAGCTGTATATTTCGCTGCATACGTCCCACAGCAACAACATCAACGTACACATGCTGGCATAATGTTTACGTATTCTCTTCCAGGTGTTCCTAGAAGCAGGAAGTGGAGCCGGCGCGACAGCCAGCTGCATATTTCGCTGCATACATCCCACGGCAACAACATCGACGTACATATGCTGGCATTCTGTTTACGTATTCTCTTCCAGGTGTTCCTAGAAGCAGGAATTCGAGCCGGCGCGAGAGCCAGCTGTATATTTCGCTGCATACATCCCACGGCAACAACATCAACGTACATATGCTGGCATTATGTTTACGTATTCTCTTCCAGGTGTTCCTAGAAGCAGGATTCGGAGAGGGCGCGAGAGCCAGCTGCATATTTCGCTGTCTACATCCCCCATCAACAACATCATGACTAAAGAAGCCCGGAATCCAAACGAATTAAACTAAGGAAGCAGAAAAACCTGAATGTAAACAGATTCCAACAACTACACATTGCGGTGGAGTTTCTTGCACATACACCAAAACATCCATCGGTTGCGTTTAGTCGTTTAGACTTGCACTCCTCTAAAATAAAGCCACCATTATCTGTCTTAAGAAAAAAAATCCTTTATGGGCACCAGGATAATTTCCAGCTAGAAGGAGTACGTAAGCAAGATATGCTTGTGATGGTTAATTAGACGGAATCATGCGTGGGGTTATGGAGCACGCCATATACTGAAATATTGTTCGTGTGTGTGCGCGCGTGCGTCCGTGCGCCTGTGTGCGTGCGTGTATTGCGTGTATGTGTGTGTGTGTGTGCGCACGCGAGCGCGCATGCATGCGCGCGTGTGCCTGTGTGTGTGTGTGTTTGTGTGCGCGCGCGTGCGTGCGTGCGTGCGTGCGTGTGCATGTGCGTGTATGTGTGCGTGCGTTCAAATAACTATTTTAGTTGGAATCGATCACACTAAATTGCGCCTATGCCACCTTGTTCCTCGATTACCAGACTGCTCAACTTGAGGGCCTAATCAGCCATTATTCGAGAACGATTTTCAAACTCTACCAGAGTAAGCCACTGCTCGCAATCACACAAATCTCAAATCAGCAAAAACTTCAAGAGGGCTCACGAACATATACTGACTGGGCAGAAACACGCACGCACGTATCAACATGGCTGACTGATTGGGCTTGCTAATACGTGAATCCCTGTGAGATGTGCCTGGGCTAGACAGGCGCGTAAGTTGGCTTCGGGCAAGAGCTGATGTTCCTCATAAACAAACATTTTTTGACCTGTAGGGTCATATAGATTACTTTGAGGTGAGTATAAATTACAACGCGAGATATTCGAGTTAAAAATTGGGCCGAGAAGACGGTACAGTTCTTTCAGCTTTAAAATTCTTTGACCAGATAGTCAAATCGTTTTAGCATTTTTTTTCCATGTGCGATTCATGTCCCTGTTTCACGGGGCTCGTTAAAATACATCATTGGCGAACCAGTGAACGCCGAGGGGCACGCGCGGAGCGGCGATCTGCAGCCCATTGGCATACTCTTCGAACGATTTCATTCTGAAGGCCTTTAAAGCAGTTCTGTCCGTCCCTCTCCACCCCCCCCCCCCCCCCCCCCCCCGCTTTCAAACACACACGCGCACTGAATAAGGCAATTTGCCACACCGTTCACTCTGACAAGGCGCTTGCCGAAATTCTCATTGTTTTCTTTTCGCGCTAGAAAGCCTGTAATTAAACTGCTCTAGTCAATGACAAGTTGAAAGACGGAGTGTGTGGTGAGTATCTACCACCTTTTTAACGCCCCCTGGTCAGTAATAATGCGTGCCATTAGTCAATTAGAGCGAATACAAAGGAATCACGTAGCAAGAAAGTTTAAGCTACCGGGATCAAAGTGGAGAGAGGTGCCCCGTACCAACCGGCTTGGTCAAATTTACCCTTCGCTGCTGATTCATCACGGAAAAAAGCAAATATAAAAAAACTACGCAATTTTTTTTACCCAGCTCGTATATCGGGCAATCTACGCTATGTAATAGGAAATATGAAGGGCCAGACAATATAGACAATGCTTCATTTTTCACAAACTCCTCGTGGATGCTTGCAGACGAAAAGACATGAGGTCGCTGAACAACTCTAAGCCACTATGTAGCTTTGTATGCTACTATTGCTTTGAAGCAATACTAGGTTGATCGGTGCTCGTCAAGCCCCGCCTTTCTAGACTGTCAGAGACTTCGGGGAACATCTTCTGATATCGTGAGTGAAGTAAGTACGAGCATAATAGATCACTCCATGCCTTCTTGTTTTCTAATGTCGGCGATTACAACTTAAAAATATGGAGTACTACTTTCTCCCTCAAAGCGGAAAATGTCCAATAAGGTACTACACAAAGGGAGCTCCATTCATTTCAAAAGGGAGGTAATTGTATCCTCCCGCCGTAGATAAGGCCTCCCAGCTTCTTTCGCCCACGAACGGAGGATCCTCCCCTAAACCAACATGGCGAAACGTAAGTGCGATCCGGGTGGAAAGGCTTCGCTATCTGTACGGTCCTTTACCGTAGTAAGAGCGAACGGCGTATACACCTTTCTGGCGTCTTTCAGGTACACAAGAGACTCTAAAGAGCCGTCTTCAAGCACAGGTCTCATACCTCTTTCGGGAACATGATGAAAACTTGCCCACCAGGAAAAACGAGGAAGGAACACAGAAAAAAAAAGAAGCCCGTTTGTGTTTTGTGTTCCTTCCTCGTTTGTCCTTGCCTTTTGTGCGCGATTTTTTATCATGTTCAACGTTTACCCACTGGCCCAGCTTACCACTTTACTTTCGTACAGGAAAGACGACAATGTGCGTATAGGGCGATTCGGCGCTTAGGACAACGTAGTGTGATCGATGTGGTTTCCAGCTAATGGCGCTTCACACGAAACAAAAAAGTCGAAATTTCGCCGCTTGTATTTGCCTGACCATTCAAGCTCTAAATACACAAACGGGAATATACAATACAATCCACTTACATATACAAACAGAATACACACACAAGAGCAACACAGGACCCAAATTAGTAACGACACACACTTTGAATGTCAAGTTCACCCGATTGCTAGTATGACAGTCGTTTTTTGTTTTGTTTTCTAATATTCCACTTGGACGCTTATCGGCCCATTAATCTAATATGCACGTAAAGTTTAACGAAATATTACTGCTACATAATATTTCTATGAATATTTTAAAAGACTAGTGTATATCTCTTAATCTAACGTTTTTAGAAGGGTCACCATTAATTAATTAGGTAATATTTATTATATGACTTTTTAATATTGATTGTATGAATCATGGGAAAATACAGTATTTACAGTGATTTTCGTTAAATGTTATACCAATTGTTAGATATTACTGAATTGTTGCATTACCGCAACAAATATTCTACCATCTAACATTGTCCGAGCAACAAAACACTCAGGGAAGACGGCCTTTATGTAACCGCTATACGATATCTTTATCAATATCTATTCGACTTAAAATAAAACTACCCGTATATGCCTTAAACTAAAACGCACTTCCCGAGAACAGTAATGGGCTTCGAATATAACACAAGGGGAGAGATCATTCTCACATTTTTGTATCTGTGTAAAAGAACTATACATCTCTATTGAGCCAATGTAAACCGCGAACGCCAGATTGTGGGTCATCTTGGCGTTCCTTTTCAATTGTGCAAAATTTCTGGTCTAGGAATTTTCACAGCTTAAGCAAGTCTTCTCACTCGCTATTTGAAATTTAGAAATATTAACAAAAGACTATTGATTTAAACAGTGGGGCAATTCATAAGTTCATAACTTTACTCTAAACTAAATAGATCAGTCTTTATACAAGCCAGACTCGGTTCCGCTAGGAACAAGCCATGATACGCAGCACAGGCGACGAGACACAACCCAACACACCAAACCGGTTAAACGGAACCAGCCAAACCTAGCTTCCCGTAAGCTCCGCGGCTCCGCCATGCCGCTGCGACCGCCCGGCGTTGTTAGATGTTTTTCTATTTCTGCTAAAATGCTTCGCCCGTTATTGTTTGCAAAGAACGAAGGGAACAGCACTGAGCAGCTTTATGTTTTACCCCATAAGAGAGTTTACCAGTATGTTATTTAACAGAAAGGTAAACCGAACCGCTCTTTTCCCTGGTCTTTGGCAAGCGCTGGCTAACTTTCGATAAATGTCGCGCCGGGCTGGTGACCGGCAAAAGGTACCCCCAAACTCTGATCTAAATTCAACGCCATAATCTACTGCCTCCAAGTATGTAAAAAGAAATTAAGAACTCAAGTCGACCCCGCCGTCACCGACTTGACCGCCGCTGTGGCCACGAACAGCGCAGGAGGAAGTTCTCCTCCTTTTTTCAAGCGCTACAGGATGGCACTGCATGTCAATCTGTTAAATGAAGAAACTTCCTTTCCTTCCGTTGGCGACAGGGAGGAAAATCGGTCTATCCTACACGTTTCCCTCTCATTTTTTTTTTATAGTGCCTAATCAACTACGGTCGGTGCTCGCGTTGTTTAGTGGTGGACCACATTCAAGAGGAAATTGGAGCAACGAGCAGACGTCTTGCCAGAAGACGACGTCAAGTTCTGCGTGGTATACGGCAGGCAGCAATCAAAGTTCAACGTTTTATGCATGGTAGTCTTGTCACTTATTGTCTTAACCTTTTAGAGAGGTGTTTTAAGAAAACAATTACCCATTAGTGCAAGATCTTGGTCCACCTCTTGCCTCAATATCGACAGCATTTGCCTCACTCCGGCTTCACCCTAAAAACGTAAAGATGGCTCGTTATAGACACGCATGTGTGGTCCGGAATAAACTGCCACTATTGTCTGCATCTCTCGTGTAGCGATTTTGTTATCAGACAACCGCAGGCAGATTAAGAGGCTCTTCCTCGCTTAAGTTCAAGACGGTAGCTATACTAAAACAAAAGCAATATAAAGATTATGATCGTACGCGTGTTGAAGAGTTGCGAGACGAGCTGCTGCAGGAACCGCCACGAATGGCACCACTCATAATATAGTGTTGATGCCGTTGGTGGCTCTGTAAACCCCAGTCACAATCCACAAGCATCATACAAAACACACGGTGTTCCCGGTGGACATGGTGAAAAAGATATGTGCAAACACACTTCAAGCATCGTCGAAGCACAGTTGCTATACTTACGTGTTTGCTTTGAACATATCTGCATGCAGTTTTTGCATAATACATTCACTTATTATGAAACTCAAGGCACGTGTTTGCTTCGAACATGTGTGCATGCAATTTTTTGCATAATACATTCACTTACCATGAAACTCAAGGCAGCAAAGGTTTAAAAAATATAAAGTGGTTGGGGGAATATGGAAAGGTTCGATGCTGCCTAGATTACCTTATGTTAATGGTTATACTGTGCATGAGGTCAAACATTCAAGCAGGATAAGAAAGTCGTTGAAGTATGTGCGTACTCTGGACGTGGGAGCATTTCGGAACGCATAAAATAAGGAGGTACCGGGGGACATGGCGTGGTCGTCTCGTGAGAGAAGAGGGGCAATTACCAAACTGAAAATCGAACAAAGTTTGAGGTAAATAAAGGATACGAGGAAGGCTTGTAAGATAAACGAGCAATTAGACCGAAGTAGTTTAAACAAAAAACGAATGAAGTGAACCCGATGTCTTTTCTTAAAATACCTCTGCTTCTTTTGCAGGGGTTCTGGTAACGGCAAAACGTAAAGCTCAGACAGGATGTGATGGAAGGATAGTGGGTAGATTCCGAAGCAAGCTGCCTTTAGGTTTGCCCAATATCCTTCCAATCGAGCATGATCGGCGTTCTGACGTCACTGCAACCTTGCGAAAGTAGCAGACGAACTTTCCCTCCTCATAATCACAAAAGTGTGTTAAACTATTGATGGGGAAGGTCTAAAGAAGCGTGATAATAAAAGAAAACTGATAGGGCGAGATATTTGCGAAAAATTGAATTTATAAAAAAATTGTTGATGGTATAGTTGTGTTTATAGGCCAGGTAATGCCAGCTACCGCCCGATACAGGGGCTGATACACGGCATATCCAGTACCAGATTGTCGAAACGGAAACCGGAACTGAACCGTTATTTTAGCCGAACCGGAACGCAACCTCGCCGCCATTTTCGAACTGAACCAGAACTCAACCGGAAAAACATATAACGGTAACCGGCCCGAAGCAGAACATGGTACTTTTGTTACAAAATGAATGTTCGTGAACTAAAAATTGTCAGCTGTAATTCTATGCTGTGATCAAATTGGCATACACCGAATGCGATGTATGAGATATTTTGGGCTTTTCTGGCGCGTTTTTATTTACACTATGATAAATCCCGTAATCCCGTGACGTAGTCAAGTGACTCAAAGTCGACTTATATTGAGAACGTCACTTGGTTTATTAGCGTTATTGTTGACCCCGTGACGTCAAATGGCATCACGACTTACCACGAGTCACGTGGCACCGTGACGTACTCAATTGACATGAGCCCGAGTTGAATGCTCGTGTTCATCAAAATCAGCATCGTGAAACATTCGAATAATAGCTCATGTTCAATCAAAGATTAAATTAACGGAACTCTGACAAAGTCTAAAGCTCAACCCATGCTTTATCCTTTTCCAACCCAATCGCATGACAGTGATATGCGTATAATTATGCGTATATGACACGCATAAATCGGAAACTTTATGTGCTGCATTTCGTAACAATAATTGTAAAAAGTCATTGGTTTTTTTGGCAAATGATTAATCACAGGTGCAAGAAAAAAGCATTACATATTTGTGCCATTTCACATGGAGCGAAAATATAGTAGAGAAAGTCCTAAACACGCCAGTCACCCTCGCTTTTGCCATCAACCGAGCTATCAGGCGTAAATACCTTCTTGCACTCCATAACACTGACTTTACATACTTAATAGTATGGTTCTGAAATGCCATGCTGCACTCCGTGACGGAGCTTCGCTTCGCCGATCACCAGTGAGCGTAGTGCATTCTACCTTTTTTTCAATACCATTTTCGCCTAGGCTCCCCCTCCCCGCCCCCTTGGTGGCTCCGAGTGTAAATGACAGACGGATCCCGAGTTCGAGGATCCAAACCCCGGCCAAGACGCCCGCATTGTAACCGGGGGCCCGTTGCGGAGAAGTCATCGTGTAACCGTGATTTTGATTGCATTACCGTCCAGAAGGTGGAAATTCATCCTCAGTTTTCCGCTGGTGCGTGCGAGAGTTTGCACGTTTCCTTACCAGTAACCCTCGTTCCCCTTCCCCCTCCCTTCCACCTTTGTTTTATATGGCTCCCTCTCCCGTTCAATTTCGCCCCACTTTGCCTGTTGAACGGACACAGACGCACGTTCGTCAGTTATATGCGCACCTCGTTCTTTTGTTTAGCTGACGGAAGCGGGCGCATGCTTTTGTTTTGCCCGACTTCAACCAATGACGGCCAGCGCTTGCCAGTCTTCATTTTGCGTATTCTTGAACATGCATTACGTTGTCATTTGATTGGCGTGCCCCTCCTGGCCTTCTAACGCGCCAGGGACGCTTTTCGGAACACTTGCTGTCCATATAGTCACAGGAGCGTACGAAAACCGAGGCAGGGCCTATTTTCGCGTTTCTGTCTTTCTGATCCCCTTGTCGGCGTTCTTATCGGATAACTCCACAATGCGCCCTGCTGCGGAGGGCTAATAAGATGCTCGGAACATAATCGGGCCCACCGTTTCTTGAGCAGTCGGTGAGCATACACGAGGAAAAAAAAACGTCGAACTCGAGACACGCGCGTCGTGAGCGGGCCGGGACTTCAGAGCAATCCCCGAGCGGCCCTTGCAAACACCATCTAGATAGCAAGGCCGTAGTGTTAGACTTTGAGAGAGAGAGATAGTTTGATACGAATACGGAAGCTACGGGGGCCCTTTCTGGGGGGGGGGGGGGGGGGGGTGTTACGCAGAAAGATGAGCACGGGGGGCGATATCAGACACGGTATAGCGTCAGCGTCCATCCGGGATTCGTGTCATTTTATGAGGGAACACGCGTAACAGCAGAACGATACGTGGGACCGTGCCGTCTAGTCTCTTGTAGGTTACGTGACCATAAGCCATTTTTAAAAAGTCCTTACCATCGCCTGTCCGTCCTTGCTTAAGCACATGCTCTGAGCATGTGTTCGACACGAGTGTCGTCTCATGTCCAAGCAATGGCGATCACCAATGCTGCTTGGTGGACTCTTGAAAAGGGTCTGTTTCAGCACTGTCTTGTTTGTGAGCAGGTGGCGTTCTCATTGGTATGCAACAAGCAGCCGGTGCGATTTCTATGTGACAGATCCCTGGATAGTGACAGATTTCAATTGTATCATATTGACGTCGGAGACCTCTGGCCTTCATTAACGAAAACATGAAGGTTTTCGATCCACCGGCGACATACCTAATACTTCCCGGCAAATCTCAGCTAGGACCTTGTCAATAGACCGGAAAGTTGGTTCAGTATTTATGCTTGAACTCGTGTCTTATTCCGATCACCTTTTCGTTCATTTCTCGCTCTCTGATCATACGGCTTCTGTGGGATCTTTTTCTGACAGTGTTGCTGATGCAATATGGAGGATGTCTTACGTTGTACGCCAGCCCCCAGATGGTGGGACGTCCAACGAACACAGCCTTGGCTCCGAGTGCCAGCGCCTTGATCACATCCGTGCCATGACGGACGCCGCCGTCGATGTAAACTTCGACGCGTCCACGGACTGCCCTCACGACCTCTGGGAGGACCTCGATCTGCAAACAGGTCGGAACACAAAATTTCTCCGAAAAACTTTGCTTACCTTTAATATGAATTTGAAGGCAGAACTGAAAGCTGGAATTAATTGTAGTTTTTCTTATTTGCTATAGACGCGTTCAGGCAGCTGTGCATGGGCACCGCCATAACCGACCCTCAATTCTTGGTTTTTTCCTGCCATTCCGATCACTTCACTTCGTTGTTGCCGCAGCAAAACAGGTTATCGCCACATTAAGTGCTACTGTTCCCTTCTCCCCAGCATAGGCCCTTGTGGAGGCCTGTCAACGCCCGCATCACTGGCTCTGCATCTCGGTAAGACAAGATACGGTCGACTATGGCGGCTCAATCTGGCGCGTGCTTAAAGCTTCTATATAGGCATCGTTAAATTTTTTGAAAATATATTTTTTACGCATTTAGGACAGGAGCACTAATGATTCTTTGGAGGTAGCCTGTACGGCCAGGAAGCATTATATACAGGTTAATCCTGAAGATACGTCCGTTAATTTCCTAAGATTTGTTAATTCACTTTTCACTTAGTGAAATACACACATGGCTCCAATTAGAAACTTGCTGCGCGTCATTGAAAACACCTAAATCTGTAAATACGAGAGGTTTTTGATGCACGTGGGAAGCGAGGCCGGCACCCAAATTCTCACTCGTGCTTTGAGCAACAGGCACAAGGAAGGCTAGTGCTAGGAACAGGGCTGAGTTCTGCTATACGGGGTTGGATAGTGCTTAGCCGCGCACCATGCCGGGCGCGAGTGAAACGACTGAAAAGTTTGATGCTTGTCGCGGAGGTCCACTGTCTGCTGGGATTTACTTTATAATGCATTTATTCAGTGATTTGGTTCACAGTTTTTTTGCGTTTTTACGCGGACTTCAGTAATACATTTCAGATTTTAATCTTGAGGCGTTTGAATGTAGGACATGCACACTTGATCAACTGGAATCTCCAAATTCTTGCTCATCACTCGGCTTTCCAGAAGACATCTTAAGCCCGCATGAGCTGTTCGTGCGCGATAAGTGCGCTCTCCTGAGATAACGAAAGCAAATTCAGCACCTTAGACACTATTTCGGCAAACGCTCGAAAAAGTAGGAGAGACTCTCAAGCGCTCCTTTCTTGGACAAGCCGCTTTCTTCCGGTGGCTTGCTACCTACTTGCTCAATGCGCCATCCAGCATCCTAGTGAAGATCAGTGTGAAAACGCAGATGATAATCTTAGTATCCGCGTTTTGGCACCACCAGCCTTGTGCCTGTCGCGCGAGTGGTAAGAATATGGGGCACACCCTCACTTCCCACGAAGACGCTCAGCAAGCGTCCAACGTTAGGTATATTTTTAGTAATTATAGAACTGAGTTTTTATTACCCGTCATATTGTAAGGATTAGCCCCCTATGTTATGTCCCCATGGCTGCATAATGCACCTGCACAAACCGCAATAGTGTACCAATCAAGGAGAGTTTTAAAAAAAATCTGCTCGAATTAAAAATCAAACACCCCCGTATTGAAAGTCAAGATGGTACCAGTATCAGGGATTTTCTGTCCGTCGTATGTAGTCTATATGACATCACAGTCACGCGACACCATGGCGTCAAGTAAAATGATTACGCTGAGTGAAACTGTGAGATTGTGTGACTTTTTTTTACGGTTATATTTTATGTAGTTTATCTTTAATATTTTCCTTTTATGCTCCTCCCTTCATTTATATATTTTTTCTCTCTCTTTCTCGTTATGATGTAGCCGGCGTCATTTAAAGAATACCAGCATCTCCATAATAAAGAACTTATCTCTCTCTTTCTCTCCATCACTCGCCGCGACAAAACGCCAAATAATACGACGTTCCAACTGCAGGCTGAAACTAGTGGGTGTATTACCTTGTGGGCTTTGACAATTAACCCCTGGTCCTCAATAAGGTAAATGCCCACTCCGCAGTCTGCTCTTTGCGCGGCTACGGCCGGGTCCGTCCATTGACTGTTTTTCTTTTTTTTTTTTTTGTGGGGGGCCCGGGGGGGGGGGGGGGGCGCCGGTGGACGAGAGACAACACCAACGCTGTGAGTCCGTTTTCCACGTGTTCATTGACTCAAATGCCAACTTGCTTTTCTCTTAGACAGGAAAAGTCTGAACGCCAGCTCAATTGCCAGTATCACCCGGTCGATTTCCCGCGCTGCCACAATAAACAGATTCATGGGAAGTCGGAGGCCCACAAAGAAAAAAAACCAAGCTCGGTAGAGCCAGGGCCTCCTCCGACGAGAGCCACCGGCCCTCCTTCGGGGCCGGCTTATGTAGCCTCAGAGATATGGACGGACCAGGGGAGGCCGGGAGCAGTCGAGTGCACTATCACTCTCAAGGATGCGCCGGCGGCATATTCACCCTACGTGAATTCGGCCTCGGTCCCCTGTATCCGGGAGGCCGCCGCCATTGGTGACGACGACTCCCATGGCCTGCTCGAAGCTATACCTACACAGGGATATAGGTAACCCTATGGTTCCCACAACCTTCACAAACATGAGCACAACACTGCACGTCTAGCTCCTTGCAATAAACGACAAGAGCAGCCTCATTACTTTTCGTTTAGCCCTCGTACGTAGGAGACATGATATTTCTTCTTGCCGATCACCGACGATCATTTACAATATTTAAAGCATTTTCTTTGGTGGAATCGAGTTATAATTATCAGGTAAGACTTTGCCAGATGTAGCGTACGGTTGCTGGTTGTCCGTCCAACTGGCGACCACCGTGGTTTGACACGAGGATCGCCGAAACGCCACGACTGATGGCTTCCTCTGCGTCTTCCGCTGTGAAGAATAAGAGAAATACATTAGTACACTGACAGTTACGAATACAAGCCATGCATATACATGTAGATGAAAGCTAGAACAGCAGCAGAGGCTCCATTATACAAGTGATTTGGCAAGACTTCCCGAAACGTTTGTAAGGTAAAGCTTCTTCTTCTAACGTTTTGGTAAACAAACATATTTATAATCTGTATTATGTTTATTGTTAATTACGAACACCTTGGTGAATTTAATTACCGATGTAGCACAGTTTTTTACTTCAAAATGTGGTTTCTCTTGTCATTTTTTCGAGCCCTGTATGCCCAAAGAACGTCAAGGTATAACCTTGGATTTTCCTTCGGCCAGAGCTTGGCATTCTTTGCCCAGAGTTGGTATACAGGCGCCAGGCTTCACCTGGAGTCTGGGAAGGTATGTCGCCTTTTTGGCACTTGTTTTTCACTTTTCCCATTGCGCCCGTGGACAGGACAGAATTTAGAAAAAAGCCGAAGAAATGTACTTCGGAACTTACTGAAGCCTCCGAGAAGAACCTCATTAGGCCAAACCTATAAGGTTCTCCAAATTTGACACAAGTTTGAGAAGCCCTGGAATTTATAAACTTGCGTCAAGTTCGGCGTTTCTCTGGATTGCCGCCTGTGTAGCCATATTTGTATTTAGAGAAGCAATGGGTACAATATTTACAGTTCCATTATTTTATGCATTATACTATCCCCCGTGATTCTCGCGAGAGTCTTGTTTAAGCGGGAGATTGCCCTCACTCCTAACTGGTACTTTCTGTGTTCAGTGTCCAAGCGGAACCATCTACATCAAGTTAACAACAACGGTGAAACATTCATTAAAATAGTATATGTTTTATAAGTATAAAGAGCATCTCCTGTTTTTTTGTTTATATCTTCTAAACTTCAATAATAGCAATATACAGCATTAATATTCTGTGGCTATATAAGAAACATCTTAGCTCTCTACGTTCAACGCAGGCGTGCATCCCATCACTCTATCCAGTCATGACATTCATGCGAATGCCGGTCAGTTCGTAACCTGCTTTACAATATCGCAGCAGATCGAGCAGATCGTCTTTCGCTATGGAATGATTTCGGACCCTATCGTAAGGATTAATAAAAGAAATGTGGATATCAAAGTTTATCATTTCTGTCTTACTCAATATTGCAGATTCCAGAAACTTGAATAGTTTTAACGTTCGAATAATTTCGCAATTTATGTAATGACAAGGCACCATTACTTTCTGCTTACGCCGAACCCGGAGAATGCAACAGCGTTTAAAGAAACGATAGGTGTAAGGATACTATGCAAGTGCGCACCATTAGTAATTCCTTTGAGCACCAAAGGTAGACTGGTGATGCTCTTCAACCAGGTGATGTCATCCCAAGACTGCGCGGGGTCGATGACGGACACCATCGCTTTTACGGACACCGTCGATTTCACTTCGGCGAATTCCGAGCTTCCTTCCAGGTTCCCATATCTGCGTTTAAAGCGCGCTGTAGAAACGTTCCGCGCTTGCCGACGACGTTTTCATTACGAGACCCTGAGTGCGAGCTGACGTTTTTCAAGAAATAAACGGCCTTTGGTCCGAATTCGTCAACATCAATGTCATAATGAATAATATCAACCCAATAGTAATTTTATTTAATTATTTATTTATTTTATTTGACACTACTAGCAGTCCTCACAACGGGGACCGTGATAGGGGTGAGCAACAAAAGTTAGCATAAAAAGACACGCAGAACATGGTGTACAATATGACATTACTAGCGTAGGATACGGTTATATATCAAGTACAGTAAACACACTCACAAAAGAAAAAGAAAATACACCAAGCACTCTGAGCAACTGATTAGAAACATGAATTTTACAAAAACGTTTCCAGGTATCTCATAAATTCAGAAATGGTGTTGGCTGCAACAGTGCTTTCTGGCAGCGCATTGAGGTCCTTTATTGTTTGGCAGAAATGTGAATTTTAAAATAATTTTTTGCGTAACGACATTGTTCAAGTGTTCTAGTGTGTCTATCTTGCGTAATTCTAGAGGTATGGGGTCCTATCAGTCTAACTTTGTCTAGCAGAAGTATCCCGTTTAAAATCATGTAAAGCATTTTCAAGCGTTTGTTTCTCCGTCTCTCTTCCAGAAGATCGATTCCTGCCCTGAAATACAGTTCCACGGGTGAATCTAGCCTCCTATACTTAAAAAAAAGGTACCGCCAATTTCTGAATCCTCTCTAATTGTAATACTAACTTCTTTGTGCAAGGGTCCCACACTTCACTGGCCTAATCTGGACTGGGTCTTATCAGCAATTTAAAAGTTAACAGTTTAGATTCCTGACTGGCCATTTTTAACGCCCTTCTTAATGACCAAAGTTTACCTACAGCTTTCTTGATCATATTATTGACGTGCTTGTCTCATCATAGATCGCTGGGTATTCTTACTCCTGAGTGTTTAAATTCGCTTACTCTAGACAAAGGCTTTCGTTTAAGTGGTACATATGCACCACAGGAGTTTTCTTATGTGTCATTGACATGCAAACGTCTTTTCCAGGTTTAAAGACATCTGCCAGCTTTCACACCCCTCGCTAATTTTGTTTGCAAACAACCGTTCAACTCGATGATGTCGCTGTCATTGTTCATATAATTATACAAAATGCAATCATCAGCGAAGAATCTTGCTTTTAAAGTAATGTCATGAAGTACGTCATTGATAAGTATTAAAACAACAAGGGTCCGACTACAGATCCCCGTGGGACTCCTGAGTAGACATCTTGTAGTATTGAATCATGCCCATCAATACAAACAAACTATTTTCTAAAAGTCAAGGACACTTTAATTCACCGCAAAAGTTTGAAATTTTTCGGCAAAGGCTCTAGCCTAAAGAGCAGCTTATTATGGTTTATTTTGTCGAAGGCATTCTGGAAGTCTAAAAACATTATGTGACCTGGCCTCTATAACAAGAGTAAAAAAAAATCATGAATTAGTGCCGTTAATTGTGTAGTGCTCGATAAACCTTTTCGAAACCCATGTTGTTTGATATCAAGTACATGATAAGTATATAAAAACGCTCTCATATGCCCTGAAATTACGTGCTCTATCAATTTACAACAGCTAGATGTTACAACAGGTAGATGTCCGGTAGGGCATAATTATGAGTAAAAAAACACTGACAAAATATTCATTAAAACAAGTTGCGATTTTTTTTCAATAACTCTATTTCTTACTATCACCTTAATAACTCATTTTCTACTTGATGTTAGGTGTCCCGAAAACCTCCGAGGTGAATATTTTATCAAGGTTTGCATCTTATCATTAAAGAAGGAGAATTTCGATCCCTCTACTTTTGCTTTGTCCCGTACTTAGCATCAGTATTTCAGCCTGTAGGAGCCCATCTCTTTTCCCTCGCGCTTTTGTTCTACACCTGGTTAAACGTCTTTTGAGGTGTATTGTGTCCCTTTTAATCCCAGGACTATTAGGATTCCGCTTCTTCACGCGCATTGGAACGAATTTATGAAGGCACTCTAGTACATTCCTTTTAGAATTAAGCCACAGCTCGTCCACTCCAATTAAGGGATTCCTAGCAAGGTCCTCAAATGCATCGTAATAAAAGCCTAGTTGATTAATAATTGAATCGTCATCAGCTTTCTTAAAACTTCTATATATGAAGATTTTTCCGTTTTCTTAGGTGGAGCCCCCAACGATAGTTCGAAGTGTACCTTACTGTGATCAGAAAGTCCCGGGTGAATCTTGAAATCCTATCTGTGACTTGAGAGGATCTCACTGACAAATATAAAATCTATTAGGGATTGTGACTCCCTTTGTTTTTTCTCGTGCTCCTGAAACATCAGCCGAACAGTCATACAAAAAAAAAATACTAAGCCCACAAAATACAAAAACGCATCGGAATTCCACTCAAAACCTAAGGTAGAAACCTATACTATCCCAGGTAGCACATCATGTCGGCCGATACTGGGATTACGTCGGCCAGTACCGGGAGCTGTACGGCGGATCCCGGCCAGGGAAGCCGGTAAGAAACCGATCCCGGCCGATATCGGGGACTCGTTGTCTAAACTGGCCAGCGCCAGCCGGAAAGTTCCCGATACCGGCCGACATCGTTTTCTTGCTGTAGTCACCGGCCAGCCTAGCCATGGAGTTTCCGGTGACTGGCCGATATCGTTTTCTTGCTGTAGTCACTGGCCACTCTAGCCATAGAGTTTCCGGTGACTGGCCGACATCGTTTTCTTGCTGTAGTCAGCGGCCAGTCTAGCCGTGGAGTCTCCGCTGACTGGCCGACATCGTTTTCTTTCTGTAATTACCGGCCAGTTCAGCCACGGAGTTTTCGGTGACTGACCGACATCGTTTTCTCGCTGCTTTCACAGGCCATTCGAGCCATGCAAGTTTTGATATGTAACCGACATGGCTTTTTCGCTGATATAGAAACTATATGATGGTTACAAATGACCGTTAGGTTGGACATGTCTTCAATATGCTAAAAGGTGACACCTAATATTATCCTTGGCCTAGTATTAACGCCGCGTCATCCTTAAACCAGTTAACAAAGGCTTATTTCAGTTTTGTTAAAAAAGACGGGATCAAACATGGCTGTGGAATGAAAGTTCAATTTGGTTTACGTCTATTAATTTTTTAGAGAGCAGCTCTTAGACGCCCGTTTCCGGCTTGAGCGGCATCGCCGTCGCAGTCACCGTCGGCGTAACCGCGCGTTGCATTATGGGAAACGTCCCATAATGCAACGCGCGGGTCTTACTCGTGACCCGCGCATTGCATTATGGGGCCTTTCCCATAATGACGGCGTGTGCGCGTTGCATTATGGGAAGCGTCCCATGATGCAACGCGCGGTCGGCGACGGCGACGCCAACATCGCCGTCGGCGTAACCGCGCGTTGCGTTATGGGAAACGTCCCATAATGCAACACGCCGTTATGGGAAGCGTCCCATGATGCAACGCGCGGTCGGCAACAGCGACGCCAACATCGCCGTCGGCGTAACCGCGCGTTGCGTTATGGGAAACGTCCCATAATGCAACGCGCCGTCTCATTTGTGACCCGCGCATTGCATTATGGGAAGCGTCTCATGATGCAACGCGCGGGTCGGCGACGCCAACGTCGCCGTCGGAGTAACCACGCGTTGAGTTATGGGAAACGTCGTATAATGCAATGTGCAGTCTCATTCGTGACCCGCGCATCGCATTATGGGACGTTTCCTATAATGACATCACAATTGACGTCACATGTGACGTCACGAGGGTCCCGCACGTTGCATTATGGAAAAAGTCCAATGATGCAACGCGCGGGTCACTCGTGACCTGCGCGTTGCATCGTGGCGGCGAAACTTGCTTTCGATAAGTTGGGCATTTTTACTGCGGCACTGCGCTTCCGTAAAAATTTCCACATGTTCTCAACGGCAAGTCTCAGGGCTTACACAGGGTTTTAAAGAGCTTCTTCGACGATTGACTACGAACGAGTAGAAAACGTGTCTTCAGCATGTTGCCGCCAGCCTCCGAAACGCTCCAAAAACGCGATTTTTCAACATGCAAAATCGCCGATCGGTGGCTTCACTCTCGTGCTGCAGCTGCAGCGACCAAGCGGGGATGCGCGATCCAGCCCTTTGCCCAGGCAGATGCCGAGCGCTCCGCGCAAGCGGTCGTTCAGCGGTCGGCCTCAGTAAGGGCTCATTCACACTGGAAGCGGATCCGCGTTCGCAAAGCGGTTGCGAACGCGGTTGTATAAGGATTCAGTACAATTGCACGCGCACACGATGACATCAAATGCGCGTGCAATTGCACTGGATCTTTATACAACCGCTTTCGCAACCGCTTCGCGAACGCGGATCCGCTTCCAGTGTGAAGGGGGGGTAAGCGATCCACCCAGTTGCACGCGCTGCCACCGCTTTCATAGCGTCTGCCCTCGCTTTTTAACAGTTTCGGTTCCCATTGCTATTTTGCTGAAAGCATGAAGTTCTGATCGGAACTTCATTCTTTGATAAAATGTCCTGCCGTCGTGGCGCTGTACGTTTTGCAAAGGGGCTGTTAAAGGGGCGATGCAACGATTTTTGTATTTTGCGCAAATACCGCTTAAAACGGATCCCTGACGTTAATGACCTGTGAAATACCCGTTCGTTTTTCAACACACGCAATCGAAGTCGCAGAAAAAAATTAAGAAAAACGATCAGAGTTCACCCCCTCAACTCGCAGCCAGAACAAGCGGCCACGTGATCGGGAGCCGATTATATGGCGCCAATGTTGTTCATAGCCTCGCGCTGGGGTTGGCAAGGCACAGGACACGCGCTGAGTTCTAGACATTTGTATGGTTCGGTTGTTGTCGTCCTTGCAGCGATTGGACACAGGACACTACCCGAATGCTTCTCGATCTATAGATTATCACGAGCCCCAATCGAGCGCCCACGCAATGCTCGGGTCCAATCTATAAGCCGCATTCAAATATCGTCACTGGGCGGTACTGCTACCGCCGAGCTACGTCATCAGGTTTTGCGAAGGAGAGATTGAATGAAAACACTCGGTTTTGTCCTCGAAATTACAGCGCAACGAAGACGTTTCTTGGTCAGTGGCGTTGCGTGCGAGTATCCTTGAGTCCCACTACTGCCAGTAAGCTCGTGTAATGTGAAAAATAATCCAATTGAATATCGTTGCACCGCCCCTTTAAGCAATACCAAACACGCATGCCGTAAAGCGACCGTCATCTTCGCAGGCGAGTTCCATCTAACGGGAATTTGTCGTATTGTATTCTAGCAAACGACATACCTAGCTCTTCATCCGAATAGGTGTACACAACGTCTTCGACGTAACGCCATATCTTGGGCCTCTTCGCTGGCAAGGCGAATGAGTCGGCAAAGACTTCGCCGAGAACGGCTGCCTCGTCGTCACTCGAGCTGGAGCTAAGCTGGTATCTTCTTCGCTGTCGCTGATTTCGCTGCTACTGCGTTTTATTAGACGATGTCAGCGCCGCAGTATGCTCGGGCCAGTCGGTCATGACAAGAGGAGCGAAAGCAAGCACAGCAAGAGAGCCCACCCAGCAATCGAAACAAAAAAACAGCGAAACTCCTTCATTTCCCCGCGGCAACGTTGATAACGAAACTGAAATGTTGCGAGTGACTATAGATCGTACTCTCCCGAAAAAGGCTGCGCGGAGAACTACTCCGGGTCCAAGCGGTCTGTCCGAGGAAGACACAGCTTGGGCGGCACATTCGTTTTTTACATCATTCTGCATGATTGTAATCGAAACATCACGTGCACCCTATATTCAACCAGAAAGGGTCACTACTTCCATAAACCCCTGCGTGCAACACGGCGCACGTTGCTCTTTGGGAACTAGTTGGCCAGGGAGGAGAGTGGCATGGTTACGGTTTCGATCGGCAGCGTGGACTATTAACGGCCGTGATCTCACGTTTTTTGGTCTCGAGAGCATCATTTTTGGTCTCTAAACTAACCTAAATGGCCAGGAATCTATAGCACAAGCCCGAGACGTATAGCTTGCCTTCACACATGCTTGTTGTATTTTTATACTCTATCGAGCCTTTCTGTTTGCGTTTCGAGATATATGTGAACGAGCCAGTACTGGGAATCTCGACGCTGCGTAGCTCGGGTATCTTGCTTGTGTACGAGTCAACAAGCTGTAACGACCAATAAGTTTGCATACATCGAGCTCGCACCTTTACAGCTGGTCAGGAAGTTTGTTTGTTTTATGCGTCCATAGACGAAATAATATTTTTTGCAACTACTGTTTTTCTTAATACGCCTGAGTACGCGAGGTAAAACTTGGAGGCGCCATTGAAAAGCTCAATTTGAACACACATCTTATCTCTTATCTGTACTGACCCGCAGCACTGCACGAAGCTAAGTCCCTACCCGCTTGCATTCCGCTAATATTCAACATCGCGTATGCACATAAATTTTTTCTGCAATCATATAGGCACGTTCCCCCACACAAACCGTTTTAAGAAAGCAAAAGTCGAGCAATTGTGTGAAGAATGTCGCACCGTTCGCCGGAAGTGCGTCGGACGGGCGTGAACCTCTATGCGGTGTGCCAAAGGAACGAAATTATTCAAAGCGCATTTGACGGTTGGTAATGGCCGTAATATTTATGTGTTTGCTTTCTTCCTGACTGAGTATGCCAAGATAATTTCAGACACACCGTTCAGACACAAATCTTGGGCGTCAGTAAAAGCTCGTCCAAAAAGGCTTAGCGAAGGGTAGGAGACTCTTGTTAGAGCCTCCGTCGTAGGTAGCCGACCTCAGCGTTTGCGAAAACCTAATCTCCTATCAGCGTAAATTTGAGTGGGCGATATATGATGACACGAGGAAGACACCATAGTAATTTGTGTGCAGTAATTTGTGTGCAAGGAAATTGCCCCAGTTTTCGTTTTGTCAACCATTTCGTCGTTTACCCTGAGACTGGGTTTTTTTTTTTGAAGAGCAGAAGTAAGAGAAAAAACAGACAGGTCTCAGGGTAAACGACGAAATGGTTGACAAAACGAAAACTTCCACTAGCTAGCCTGTACTTTGACTCTTTTCTCGTTTCGTTTTGTATCGTTCGAGAATGAATGTATTGTACGTTCGTGAAAAGTCAGATCATCGAAAACTTAAGCGGCGCATTCGGTCACTGCGTGATAGCATGAAAGGAAGCTGCTCAATAGAAACCGAAACTGAGTGGCCAACTAGTTCCCAGAGGGCACTTCGTCGAAGCGTCGTGTATTTCTTTGTGCCCCCGATTTTTTTTGTTTTTGTTTTTTATAGGGTAGCACAGTAGCACAATTATATATTTGCGACTGCGTGTTTAGACTAGAACAGACCTCATCCAGCATCGAGCCAGCTGTTGATAGACTTTGCTAGAAAGCCGATCCAGCATCCAATCCAAAGCCGGACAAGGTGAGCAAACACAAATGGCGAGCGGGACGTTGGCCTGGTTCGCGGCATGGTTCAGGTACGGTGGCTCCAGGGTTGAAAAATTGTATGTGACCGTGGTGGCGAGTGAAAGCGCTGCATATAAATCTATGCGGGGCAGAAGTCGCTCGAAGTTACCGCCTGTGTTTTGATTTTGATGTTCGTGTTCTGTCGGTTTCGTCGTATGTAGGCCTAGTGAACCAACTTCCGCTCAACAACGCTTGCTGGTGGTTGACTCGACGGTGTTGACGGCCTTTCGCCGTATCCCGACGATCGTTTCGTCGTGATGTCCCGCAAGACGGAGTAGCCGTCAAGTAAGAGAAAGTACGAGCCGCAGGAAAGGGATGCGACCGCGTATTATTTCGTAGTGGCGAACGGCGGCACTTCTCTGTTTACGTTCGCGCACGTTTTTGCATCGGCTTCTGCTCGTTCGTAGTGTAGATGCCCTTTGCGTTTCGTTGCATCGCGCTGTTTCCAGCGCACCTTCGGGACTCCCGGCCGAGTATGGACGAATGTCGCGCCGCTAGCCCGGCGAGACGGCGATCGCGGCGATCGTTCGGCGGCGGCCTCCGTGTGTTGTAAGCGTTGAAGTGAAATTAAGGGGGGGGGGGGGGGGGGGGGGTATAGAGTCAATCGTGTACGCGCGCTAGGCGCATTTGTCACTGACTTGGGGTACGGTGAGGGGAGAAAAGTGGGGGAGAAGATAGAAGTAGGAGTCGGGCGTCAGGAGCGTCGTCTCACCGTCCCGCTCGCTCGTCATCCCATCGTCGCGCTTAATCCGTGAGTGAGTGTGTGTGTGGGGGGGGGGGGGGGGGGGGGGGGGGATTTAGCACTGGTGGCTGGCACCGCGCGGTGTCCGGTGATCAAGGCGGTCTCCGGGGGCGACCGCGCCGTGTTGGTGGAGGCATGCTAGCTCGCCGAGACGCTGCTGGCGGGGCATCGGGTTGTGCCGTCCGCGAGACGCTTGTTCGTTATTTTATTTATCCTTGCATCAGGTTTTAGATTATGACGGTAAATTTGCATTGTTTGCCATACTTCGCAGAGTCGTAACAATTTTTCTACAGGCGACTCCTAGAGCCGCTCGTCAAATTTTGCGACACGCAAAACAACTTTTTTTTTTTTTTCGACACATTTTTTTTTTATTATAACTTAGCGGTATATTGAAACTTTCTGCTCGTAGCGCAATCGCACCAATGCTGAAAAATTCCGCACGTACTGGCTAACCGTCATCATCGTAAGCTCGACTCGTTTTTCCGAGTTCACATCAAACAAAACTAGGTTCCTTCTATGAAAATACGGTGTACCGTTAAATACCGGGCAAGCGGCGCACTCAAACTTTGGAAATAATCGCAAAAAAATGGGGGATAGGTGCTTGTCCGGTCGTCAATTTTACATATAAATGTACTGTGCGTATTTTCTCAGATCTCACAAATTTGGTAATGGGCACTTAATGTGGAATGGGCGGATGCACGGTATTCTACGGTATGTCCAGGCAGTTAGCGGCATCCTACACCTTGGTAAGCACAACCGCGCGTTGTGAAGTCCACCACCGGCGTGGCACAGGGCCCCGCCCTTACCTAGCATGTCGTCATATGCAAGGAATGTATACTCCGTTCGCCCCTAAGCTGAGACTAGAATCTCCGCCTTCAGTGCGAGCT